CCTGTCTGTCTCTCCTGTCTTTAGTATGATTAAATAAATATATATTTATGAGTAAAGGATTAATAGCTAATGAGAAGAGTAGAGATAAGTACTGTATGTCTTTTACTCCAAAAATACCTCAACAGAGGGGGTAGACATTCCCTTTTTTTGGTGTAAATTTATCTGTGTGATCATACTCAGGAGTCAGCTGGAAGAAATTGGAGCTCATGGAAAATGTTACAACTAAAAGTACACAGGGGACTCCAAGAATTCTGTGTAATAAGTTGAAAGAAAATGTGCATTTTTCACAAAGCTTTTGAAACCTCCTCACATGTTTAGAAGTTGTGTCTAAGAGAGAATATATAGAGAGTAAGATCCCAATCAAGGTCTCCCACATATGTGGCAGCAAACAAACTACTTGAGCTATCACTTGGTACCTCCCAGGGTATATATTAGCAGCGATGTAGAATCAAGATCAAAGCCAGGACCTAAACCAGGAACTCTAACATGGGATGATAAAAACATCTTGACTACTAGGTCAAATGTCCACCCAATATTTTCCTTCTTTAATAATTGCTTAATACATCTTCAGATATATCCTCAAACACTAGAATTCAGTGAAAACATGTTTTTCTAAGTCAGTAATTTCTAAGTCAGTATTTTTCTAAGTCAGTAATTTGAAATAGATTTAAACTGAATAGTAACAGTTATTATAATTGTGACATATGCTTAGGGACTTCCAGTAAATAAAAATGATTCCTTCAAAATTAGAATCAACCAGTGAAAGCAATAAAGCATAATAAATAAATAAACCATTAGAAGGGAAGACTTTTTGATCACTAAAGATGGATTTGTCCTACTATAGAGTTTGCTTTATGACCTAGACTTGGTTAAAAAAAAATAGCTTGAGCTACAGCCAGCCTAGTAGTAACACTCTAGACTTAGTAAGATTAATAAAAATAAAGTGCTTTTACCTTGGAACTATTTGTCATATTCTTCATGACTCTGGCGTGTAACATAAAAACACACACCTATGTCCTGTAATATAAGGGTCCTTAAAAATATTTTTGAGCTTTCCATTTTTTAACATCAACAATAATGTACTAGTGAGCGTGATGGAAATGAATAACAACATAATTGCAGAAAATCTCCTCCCATCTGATGTGGACATTGTAATTTGAACTTGACAAACCAGGATTCATATGCCATCTACGTCACATATTAGCTGAGTAACTTAATTTCTGAGCCTCTATTTCCTCTTCTGTAAATTTGGGCTTTTACATGGATTAAATGAGTTGATGTAGAAAAACTCAGCCCAGCACCAGTTCTGATACGCATTTTTATAACTTTTTTTAAAGATTTATTTATTTATTTGAAAGGCAGAGTTACACAGAGAGAGTAGAGGCAGAGAGAGAGGTCTTCCACCTGATGGTTCACTCCTCAATTGGCCGCAACGGCTGGAGCTGCATCGATCTGAAGCCAGAAGCCAGGAGCCATCCTCCACTGCTTTCCCAAGCCATAGCAGAAAGCTGGATTGGAAGTGGAGCAGCTGGGTCTCGAACCAGTGCCCATATGAAATGCCAGCACTTCAGGCCAGGGCATTAACCTTCTGTGCCACAATACCAGCCCCCTGATTCGCATTTAATAGATAGGAGATATTATTCTCTAATGTATACTTTCATTTTCCAGCATTCAAACACAAGAATACATGGTGTGAAACTTGATTCCAACTCTCTACAAACTACAATAAAAAGTTATTTTTAAATTCTCTTTGCAGAGCCTATCATCAACTTTTCTATACACAATGCCTAATGTAGACTCTGTCTTGAGTGTTATACTAAAGATGGGACATATACTGATAGACAAGATGCAAATCTATCTTTCATGAACTGACAGCCTAGAGATGGAAGCAAGTACACAGCCATCATTTTAACTCACAAAGCGATGAGAACTATAATAGAGAATTTCACTGAACATTACCAGATTAGATGAGGGGGAGGCAGGGAGGAAACAGGAATGACCTGAAGGGAAAAGAAAGACGCTTGAATTATCATAATGAAAAAGTGGGAACCTCCCAGGTGACTGAGATAGGGACATGCCTTCAAAGCAAGAAGACATTACACACAGGAGGGGGAGTAACATTGGTTAGCCAGAGTTAAGTGAACAGGTGAGGATGTGGCACAAGATGAATCTCCACATGTGACGTGATACACTTTAAATGCTGTATGCAAGGCTAAGACACCAGCTTGAAGGTGTTGACATGCTATAGACAAATTTCAAACAAGGTATGTGGAGGGAAGGATAAAAGACTCTAACATTTTCTTTCCCAAAAAAATCCCTGGGAGGATGTTAAGGGGCTGATGGGAAAGAAGTAAAAATCATAGATTCAATCAAGATTCTTTTGTTCTCAAATCTCACAAGTGAATCATCAGCGAATACTCAACAGTCTGCTTTCAAAGTATTTCCAGATTCTGGGCACATCTCCCCACATCCACTGCTACCTCCCTCATCAAAATCACTATCGCATTTCACCTCGAATATTGAATGACTTCTTAAGTGGTCTCCCATCCCATCCAAGACCCACTGCTGTGCTAGTTACTGTCTGAGCCTCACTTTTTCTGTCTTCAAAATGGAATAAAAATGCAGACTTTACACAACCAATGTGAAGATTGGCAATGCACCTGACAAAGCCTGATACAGATTCTCACATTAAAGTATAGAATGATAAGTTTTAACATCCATGAAGTTTTCCAAGTCAATAAAAGGCAGGAAAAAAAAAAAAACACCAAAAACAAAAAGAGAGAAGCCAGTTAAATGTCTCACAATTGAGTATTTGTTTAGTTATTTAAATGCACGCACTAGAACTATTAACTATTACAGATCAGGGTCCTGCATCAAAAGCAAAGTTGCTCTTTTTTAAAAAAGATTTATTTTTATTTATTTGAAAGGCACAGTTAGAGAGAGAGAGAGAGAGAGAGAATATCTTCCATTTGCTAGTTCACTCCCCAATGGCCTCAATGAATAGGGCTGAACAATGCTGAAGAAAGAAACTTCTTTCAGGTCTCCCATGTGAGTGTGGGGGCCCAAAGGCCATCCTCTGTTGCTTTCCCAGGTGCATTAGTTGGAAGCTAGATTGGAAGTGGAGCAGCCAGGACACAAACCAGTACACATATGGGACGCCAGCATTGCCGGTGTGTGGCCTTATCCACTATGCCACAATGTCAGCCCCACAAAATATGTTCTTTCACAGATTTCCAATAATTTATGAGGCAGAACTCAGTGTTTGCAAGCACAATTTTATGTAGGAGTTTACCACAACAACATTGGGCACAACTGAGCTTGTGTGAGCATAGGCTTTGTAATAAGCAACATACAGTGGTTCAACTACAAACAACAAAGTAGATATTTCCTTAGCTGTTGCTATAGGGTGGAACAATCCACTCTTGTGCAATTAGTTATGGCTTGTGAGATTAAGGTAATTTGGGCTCCACACCCTTTGATATTGAGTCATATGCTCTGTGGTGCTTTTCAGTCACTGAGTTTGAGATGTTTTCTGTGAACTGAAAGCAATGTTGGCTTTACAGTCATTGCCAAGGGAGGTTCATCTGATCTCAAGCTGATTTCAGCCTTTGGGTTTTTATGGGGAGTATAGGTTGGGACCTTCAATTTAATCTTGTTTTTCAATACTTCCTACTCCACATTTACAGACCTTGACATATCAGTTCATCTCTGGAAATACAGTCAGTCCTTAATTGCTGCAGGGAGGATTAATCCATTTGACACTCATTTAGCATTTTGGGTTTACCAACGCCTCCAACTGTGTCTGTTTTTTACTTTGCACTACTCAGCAGCCACTAATATTTACTGAACTCACAAATGCTGAACACTGTGCATTTGTAACCTTATGCAACCCCACAAGATAACAAATGAATATTTTATTTCCTTCATATTTTATTTGGATGCCCTTTTTTAAAATGATCATTCTTTGAAGTGAGTCAAATTTTGTAATTCATAATGTATTTATTCAACAAAATTGAAAGTTGACAAATTGATCTGCCTCCAGTAATCTATATATATTTTATAATGAATCACATAACCTAATCTGATCTTCAAAACAGCCTTGTCCGGCAGCAGTTTATATTCCATATTTAAGATAAAAGTCTCTAATAAATGACAATCTGATTCCAAGCACACAAGGAATAGAACTGGAGTTCACATCCAGCTCCTCTGGTGACATCCTTAGTGTGTGTGTGTGACTGTGTGTGAGGTGGGGGAAGGAAGATGGAATAAGGTTGTTTCTAAGCTATATGCCCAGTGTAATACCAGACATTGTACTAGTATGAAATCTATTGGTCTACATTATAATGAAGACGTCCATGAGGAAAATGATAAATTACATAAACCCTCAGGTGTTGGAGCAGTTCTGATTCATTTCAGGTACTTGCTTCCCCTCTGCACCTCAGCCCCCTGCCTCTGCCCACATCCTCATTTTTAATAACATGCAGGCTATCACAGTGAGGAGTGATGCTGTCATGATCTTTCTCCAATTCCAACCCTGCTTCTTTACCTCCTGCTACCCGCCTTCCAAGCCAAATGATCTCTCTTCAGTGCATCCAGCTCAGTAATGGGATTACTACAGTTCTAGCTGGTAAGGGCTCTTAGAACCTGTTGTAGTAAAACAAAGAGATCATTGCTCTGCTGTTCTTGAGAACTTTGCAAATTTCAAACAATTTCCTTCTTGCAAAAGAAGGAGAGATAATTTCAAACCATAGGTAGGATTCCTTATTCTCCCATCAGATTACTGTAAGTGTTAATAGTTCAGCAGTGCTGAAAAAAATAAAACTGAAAAACAAAACTCATTTCACAATCCTTTGTTCAGTTCATTTCCAGAACTATATTACTCTAAGTGCAGTGATATGCAAGATAAAACACCTGAGAAAAACAGACGCTCATGAGCACTGTAGCAATGGCTTCTTCGACTGATGCAAGTAACCCTCTGTGATCTTTGCTCTTGTTCTAAGGCCAGCACGGGGATCATCGACTTCGAGATTCCTGAATCCATACGTGATTTGTTTCATTGTTGTAGCAGTCGTGGTGATCCTGGCAGTGATCGTAGCTCTACTTATTCACTTTTTAGCTTTTGGTGAGTACCAGAAGATTATCACTTTCCAAACTGAATAACTAAGTACCTTTTCCAATGAAAAGTTTGCTATTTTCTCTTTTTTTACCATTTTATTTCTTAATATAGCAATGAATATATACCTTACTTATAATTCTTCTCTATGCATTCATAACTATATCTTTTCTCAATCAATATTTTTTCTCTTATCTTTTTTGGCCATTTTTAGTAGGCAAAATAGCGTTATACTTTCAAGAATTATTCTAGCCACAGGACAAAAAACTCCTGAAGCCTCTGATGCTGAATTTGTCCCATTTAAAAAATATTTATTTTATTTATTTGAAAGGCAGATTTACAGAGAGAGAGAGAGAGAGAGAGAGAGAGAGACAGGGAAAGAGAGAGAGATCTTCCAAAGCCAGGAGCCAGGAAATTCATCCAGGTCTCTCACGTGGATGCAGGGGCACAAGGACTTGGGCCATCCTCCACTTGTTTCCCAGGCACATTAGCAGGGAGCTGGATATAAAGTAAAGCAGCTGGGACTCAAACTAGAACCCCTCTGTGGGATACTGGAGCTGCAGGAGGCAGCTTTACCCGTTACACCACAACACCAGCCCCAAATTGCCCATTTTTAACGTGTTAATATCTTTCTTTCTTTCTTTACTGAATAACACATGATAAAATCATGAAAGTGAAATATTACAAAGAACCCTAAGTTTCAGCACCTAAAATTTGTGTGCTGCCTCCTGAAAACACAGTCTTACAAACATGACAGTTATGATGATTAGAAGACATACTTGCAGGTGAGAAGTAGAAAGGGATAAAGTTACATTTTAAAAACATTATGTACCTTTATAATTCTTTGTATTTAAGTTTATAATTATTAAGTCACCAAGAAATAGAATGCATGTACAAAAAATAATGTAAAAATATGTATGCCCTGCTAATTCATAAACAATTTCCTTAAAATCAAGATGAATATAAATATTCTTTCAGATGCTTTATTATAGCTACATGAATACGTCAAAGTTTGATAAGTGATACCACACGGTTCAATTTTTCATTTAAAATACACTTTGAGGTTTTATTATTTTAGCTGTAATTCTGTTAAAACATTTAACTCACACAAGTGGGTGTGCAGGTGTGTATGTGTGTGTGTGTGTGGAGAGAAAATGAGATAAAGAAAATGTTATTTACTCTATCTTCTACTGTAAATAGGCAAAGATGCTTAACTATGTACAGATTGGCAAATTTCCAATGGCTAAGTAAAATTATTAGTTCAGAAAAACAATGGTAAATCACTAATTCCTCTATAAAGAATATTATTTGAAGTAATTGATTTAAATTATATTTATCTGAGAGACAGAGAGAGGCAAAGAGAAAGAGACAAATAAAGACAGACAGCACCCATCTGCCAGTTAACCCCCCAAATGCCCACAATAGCTGAGAATGGGCAGAGGCTGAAGCAAGGAGATAGGAATAAAATCCACGTCTCCTATGTGCATGACAGGGACTCAACTGCTAGAGCTATCTTTGCTGATTCCCAGGATGTGCACTGGCAGGAAGCTAGAATCAGGGGCAGAAGCAGTAATCAAACTCATTTACTACAAGGGAGAGTGTGGGTATCTTAAAAACCAATGCACTGGCCTCAGCTCAATAGGCTAATCCTCCGCCTTGCGACGCCGGCACACCAGGTTCTAGTCCCGGTTGGGGTGCCGGATTCTGTCCCGGTTGCCCCTCTTCCAGGCCAGCACTCTGCTGTGGCCAGGGAGTGCAGTGGAGGATGGCCCAAGTGCTTGGGCCCTGCACCTGTATGGGAGACCAGAAGTACCTGGCTCCTGCCATAGGATCAGCGTGGTGCACCAGCCGTGGCGGCCATTGGAGGGTGAACCAACGGCAAAGGAAGACCTTTCTCTCTGTCTCTCTCTCTCACTGTCCACTCTGCCTGTCAAAAAAAAAAAAAAAAAAAAGCAATCCACTGAAATAATTTTAAAATTTATTCAGAGTTACTTGGATCTTTCCTTAATGATAAATGAATACTATCATATTATGGTTATGCGTACTAATATTTCTTAATGAATAAACCACAAATCTCCTTTAGATATGGCAAGAATGAAAAATATAGTACATCTGAACAATTTTTTTATTTCTCAAATAATTCTACTCTGATTTTCATGTATCTTAGTCTGGCTTTGCAAATCTTCATTTTTAAGATTTACTTATTCATGTACTTATTTGAAAGGCAAAGTTATAGAGAGAGAGGGAGAGACAAAAAGAGAGATATCTTCCATCCATTGTTCATTCCCCAAATGGCCTCAACAGCCAGGGTTGGGCCAAGCTGAAGCCAGGAGCCAGAAACTTCATCCAGGTCTCCCATGTGGGTGTCAGGGAACCACCTACTTGAACCATCTTCTGCTGCTTTCCCAGGTGCATTAGCAGGGAGCTGGATTGGAAGTAGAGCATGTGGCCCTTGAACTGGTGCCCATATAGGATGCGCTAGTCAGCGGCTTAACCCATTATGCCACAACCCTAGCCCCCACCTGCTGATCTTTCTTGATCTCACCCCTCCCACTGGCATTGCCACCAAGACCAGAGTAGGCTAATAGCTTTCAGGATGGCTCTCTGTAGAAGCAGTCTTGGATAGAACAATTGTTAGAAACCAAGGTTTTGAGCTTCCAAAACTTCGGTAAATCACCTTTCTCCATCTCTGGAAAATAAAGAGCCACTATTTCCCCTCCTTTCCTGGTGTTAAGACAAGAGAAATCCTTTCTAGATTGACACAAAGAACTTCCTTTCCAATGTGCACCACAAACTGCTCACGCTCCTGTGCTCACCTACAGAGTGTCTGGGTTTGCAAATCTTTCTGGGAACTAAAGAAAAAATATTTTTGTTATCACAATTACATTAACTTAGAATTTTCTTCCTCTTTTTTTAAAAAAGATTTTATTTATTTGAGAGGTAGAGTTACAGAAATAGAGGGAGAGACAGCGAGAAAGGTCTTCCGTCCACCAATTCACTCCCCAAATGACCACAATGGGCAGGAGCTGGACCAATCAAAAGCCATCAGCTGGCACCTTCTTCCAGGTCTCCCACACGAGTGCAGGGGCCCAAGCACTTGGGCCATCTTCCACTGCTTTCCCAGGCCATTAGCAGAAAGCTGGGTCTGAAGAAGAGCAGCAGGGACAGGAACTGGTGCCCATATGTGATGCCAGCCCCTCAGGGTGGAGGCTTAACCTACTACACCACAGCACCGACTCCTTTTCCTCTTAAGAAAAGAAAAAATTTAGTAATTGTATAATATAACTCTACATAATCCTAATAAAATATTCATGTAAATAGTAATGTGACTTCTTTTTTTTTTCTTTTCTTTCTTTTCCAGATAAAAAATCTTGCTTTTTTCACAGCAGCTTTCAAATTCGAAATGTTCAATATAGCGATCAGTTAAATTCACCAGCTACACAGGAATACAGATTATTGAGTGAAAGAATTGAATCTATGGTAAGTTAATATTTATCCTTTATCCCACCATAAAATTAATATGATAATAAACCTAACCTTTTGTGATGTATTTTCAGCTGCCAGTTGCTCTGCATGATTTTTCCCCTTGAGTGGTGAAAGATATGTTTCTCTGTTCTTTCCCCAACTTAGTTTACTATTATATTGTTTCTTAATCACATTTTCTTAATCCTGTGTAAAAAGTGTTAGAAGGCCATGTGTTATATGCATTTTATTTGGTTACGACTTCCAAAACAGGAAGTCTATTGTTTGTGTGAGTTAAGTACAAAATTGCCTTTTTAAATGCTTTTCATTTTGCCTTCTTTCTTCTTGCCCCATACAACTAAAAACATAAGGTGGCAGATGTTAAAAGATGCCTACCACATCAGTAACAATATTGTTTGGACAACATCCCAGTCTGGATTATTCATAGACATGGAAGTTTGAATGGAAATACATGAAGCAAGGTTGTGCTCTTACTTGAAGAGGTCGGTGAGCTACCTGCCAGGGAGCTTCACAAGTGAAGCCTTAATATCTGCGTATTATCACAAACCAGGGTGTAACCTGCAGCCCCGCAGAGTCACAGTCCACCAGCATGAGTTGCTCGCTCACCCTTTCCATTTTTTTAAAGATTTATTTATTTATTTGAAAGGCAGAGTTACAGAGAGACAGAGGCAGAGAAGAGAGAGGTCTTCCATCTGCTCGTTCACTCCTCAAATGACCACAACAGCCAGAGCTGCGCAGATCCGAAGCCAGGAGCCGGGAGCTTCCTCTGGGTCTCCCACACAGGTGCAGGAGCCCAAAGACTTAGGCCATCTTCTACTGCTTTCCCAGGTCATAGCAGAGAGCTAGATCGGAAGTGGAGCAGCTGGAACTTGAACCCATGCCCACATGGGATGCCAGCACTGCAGGCAGCGGCTTTACCCGCTATGCCACAGCAATGGCCCCGACCTTTAACATTTTTTAGAGTCATAAAAATTTACATTGATCCAATACTTCTAAAACTTTAACATATAACAGAATAATCTGGCAGATTTGTTAAAAAAATTACTGGGCCCCAACCCTGGTTTCCCACATGGGTGTCAGGGGCACAAGCATTTGAGTCGTCATCTCCTGCTTTCCCAGGCACATTAGCAGGGAATTGAATCATAAGCAGAACAGCCAGGACTCCCCATGTTTTTACTTACTTAACTATTTTTATGTCAGTACATTGGTTAATGCATTTTAAATAAATCTCTACATTGCATTGTAAAAACCATCAGTTGACATTTCCACCAGCAGTACGTAAATATAAATACGCCCATTTCTCCACAGCATTAACACTATGCATTGTAAATCTTTTTAGCTTATTGAATTACTTCTAGTTCAATAGGTAAAAAGCAATATTTCATTTTTTTGGTTTGTATTTATTTGATTACAATTGAGATTTAATCTGTCTTCATATATGAATAGTTTATTTTTATAATTTTATATATGAATTGGCTGGTCATTAATTTAGCCTTTTTTACTATCTCATTTGCATTTTTATGTGATTTTTGAAAAAAACTCTGGTTATTAAAATATTATACATTGTCTCTCATTCATGTTTCACATATTTCTCTAATAAGTGATTTAACTTTTAATCTTATTTACACTGCTGTTTTAATGCCAAATAGAAGTTTTAATTTTCTATGTAGCCAAAGTTATCAGTCATTTTTGTAATTTCTCTCTATTGTGGTAAAAATGGCTTTCTCCACTCCAAATATTCTTTAAAATACTCATCCACATTTTATTTTTATTCTTTTATTAGTTCATTATAATTTAATCTTTGATTCATCTGTAATTTTTGTTTAAAGCAAGTATGCAGCTTTTCCCAAAACAGTTAAGTGGAGATCCCAAAACATTGTGTTAAATATTAAGCTTCTGTTAGAGCTCTTTGAATATTTAAAACACATGAAAAATACTTATATAGTGCTTTCTATGTTACAAATGTTTTCATGTCTATATATGATCTAACTTTCATCTCACAACAGCCATAAAGAAAGGATATGAGTAAACATAGTGAGGAGTGGGTGGTTGACCTAGAAGTTCAGAAGTCAGTTGGGAAACCAGCAATCCATACCAGAGTGCTTGGGTCTAGTCCCAGCTCTACTCTTGATTCCACCTTCCTATTAATATACATTCTGGGAGACAATGGTGTTGGCTCAACAGTTTGGGTCCCTGTCACCCACTTGGGAGATCTGGATTGAGTTTCTGACTTCCAGTTTTGATATCTGGCCTAGTCCCAGCCATTTAGAGAGTAAACTAGCGATAAGAGAGTTTCTCTCCTCCTCCCTCTCTCTATCCCTTTTCCTCTCAAACAAACAAAAAGATTGTGAGATCAAGACACATGCCAAAGGACACTGAACCAGAAAGTGAGTAGTAGATACAGATTTCAAGTCAGAGTCTCCTGATCTCAAGACCAAGGGTCATATCATTCCCTGGTAGGAACATGAGTACCATCATTATCCTTGTCCCACAGACAACATGACTTAATACGTCTCAGAATTTTCTATTACACTAAGCAATGCACTCCTCTTTTCTTTTTTAAAAGATGTATTTATTTATATATTCATTCATTCACTTTTTTGTTTTTAAAGTCGAAGTTACAGAGAGAGAGGGAGAGATAGAGAGGTCTTTTATCCACTGGTTCACTCCCCAGAGGCTGCAGCTGCCTCACTTCTGTTTTCTGATCCTCAGTTTCTTTGTCAGTGAAATTAAGTAGTTGGTTTAGATGATTTCATACTACATTTTAACTCAAAAAGTCTGTGATTTTTCTCAGACGGCATATACTCCCCTAGTCACCTATCTTTCTAAACACTCTGGCCACTCCTCTGTGTCCTTTACTGGCTCCTGCTCCTCCGCACAGCCACTAAATGCTGAAATTCCTTAAGGCCTGAAGTACACTCTCCTCTCCTCTCCTCTCACACCATTGTCTATCTCCAGATGAGCTCATCCGTGTCCCTTGCTTCAACCATCAATGACTTTCTTTAACTTCCAGCCTAAACCTTCCTTCTGCACTTCAGATCTTTGCACCCAATTGTCACCTTGATAAATCCACCAAGTTATTTCACAAAACTTCAACTAATACTATGTTCTGAAGTCAAATTCAAAGTCCCTGGCAATGGTGTTTACTCAATTATTTGGACCAGAAACTTAGTCTTCATCCTTGAAATATTTTTCTATATCATCCTAAACAGCCAGTCTGTCACCACCCTCTGTCGATTTTACGCCCTATATTTCCCCCAAATCCATTCACTTCTGTCCATATCCACTGCTGGCACACCTATCCAGGCCATCATCTCTATCTTGAAATATCAAAATAGCATCAGAAACAGTTTGTCTATTTGCATTATTCCTTCTGTAAAACTGATTAGCCAAAGGCAGCCTGAGAGATTATTCTCTAGTTGCAAATCTGATTATACTATCCTCTTGTTGAAAACAGTTCAGTGGCTTCCAGTCATTTACAATAAAGACTCAAAGCTTCTCATGTCGACAAGACCTGCATGGTCAGGCCTTTTCTACCACTGTAGCCCAGGTGCTTTTTTCCATGGTGCAGTAGCCCTGGCCCTTTTATCATTCCTTCAATGCCACCTGCTGGCTGCTGCCATGAGACTGTGAGTGTGCCAGTCACTCCACCCATAAGGCTTTCTCTGCCTGCCCTCTGCTTCTTCCAGAAGAGTTTGGCCCAGGAGGCATTTCCTCTGAGAAGTCGCTCTAATATCATGGACTGGATCCAATCATTCTACTATGTTAATGCCTTTATCAGGATTATAATTTACTAGTATATGAGCATTTAACTAGTGCCTGTCTTTCCTGGTAAGTTATGTGACTGCGGGGCCCTCTATGTGTATTCCAATACCTGACAGACGGGGGTGGAACACAAGAGATGCTCAAATACTGTTGTTGAATAGATGAACAAGGCCATTTAGAAATAATGAAGCACCTGTTTGCAAAGTACATGCATTCAAACTTATGAGTTCCTTCTAATTAAATGGGTTTCTGCAAATAAAACAAGAGACTACAATCAGGAGCCATATCTAGGATCAACTGAATGATTTCAACTCTTCTTTTCTATCAGGGCTGATATTCCAACAGATTGTCGTTTTTCTAAATGCATCTAGTGGCAATCTCACAAAGACAGAGGAAAAGAAAGAATGTATTATTAATTCAAAATTAATCTTATCACTTCAATTATATCTTCAGTGTTTTTGGAAAAAAATTCATTTTAGCATATCCATTTATCAAAATTGAGTGTGACTTTATGCCTGCAAGAGAAATAAGCACATACTAGGCATTCAAACATTTAATGAGCGAACAAATTAATCCTATATTCTGTCAGTTCCTGTGCTAAGGCCTAGGGACACAAAAATAATGGCATGATTATAGTCAGGTTGGAGTCCACAGGAGTCTCCAAGATGGGGTTGTGTAGGAGAAATGTGGGAGAACCAACAATTTAGTGGAGTGATAGAAGAAAATATTCCAAGATCACTCATACGTTTCTCTTTTAAAAAATATTTTGGAGAAGCAGAAGGGAAGAAACTTTGCTTTGTTACTATTTAACAGATGGATTGACATGGGCACCCTTTTTGGATTTTATGTCAGATGCTCAACACAGTGAGTCCTGGGTCGAGGGGAGGGTGGAAATGGCATGTGGGGTTGATTTTCTAGGCTCCAGCACACTTCTACCTTCACTTGGCGATGTCAGTGATAGTTTACAACAGCAAGTTTATATTATCCAGTATAAAAGTAAACTAAAATCTCCCCCAAAGCAGCAAGGAGACTGAGAGGAATCCCACATAATAAAAATAAATTTTAAAACATGTAATTTGAAGGCAATATGTAAGCACAGAAATGAATAAACATAAGAAAACATGAAAATTTGCACCTCTTATATTCTTTATAAAAAATCACAGTTTCAGATAACGTAGTACAAGTCAGTGGTATGCTCCTTAGAAGATATTTAATACATGCCACACACATTCACACACACATACATACCTATTTCTTCAAAATATGAGATATTAATTGCTTTTTAAGTAAACTCACGCCCTGCAGAGAAGAGCTTGAAAATGTTTGAAAATGTGACCACCATTAGATGACTGTGTTTTCTTTTGTACTGTTGTACTGAAAATGATGTAAAGTATATTACTGATAAAAGTGCTTTTAGTCATTACATACAAAAAAATTGGGGGAAAGAATTAACTGTCATTTTTAGTGAATTTTAAACACATTTCTTTAAAAAATATATAAGATGTAATGCCTTTCATTTTGTTTGATCTTAGAAAATAGAAAGTCATTTGCTTAATTTCAATAAAAGCTTGTTAAATTGGGTAATACCGACACCTTAGTGGCATGATCTGTTAGTTCTGTCAATAAACTTCATGCATTTGTAGCTACATAATTATGTGAAAACTTCCCTTGTGCTTAAAATCAAATATTGAAATAAATTAGAATTAGGTCCTTGAGTCTCTTTTTATAAGTTATAAAGTCTATCCAGTCATATTATACATGGAAAATATTAATTTAAAAATAAGGAGAATAAAACAAGTGTATGTTTTATAAGTTTTTAATTGCTAATTTTGTAAATAAATTTTATAATATCCATTGTTAAATGTACAGTTTCACTACATTATATAATTTATAATTTATAAGTCAATATATCTGTTTTGGCTACTCATGCACAAGATTTTTCTTTTTTGACAGGCAGAGTGGACAGTGAGAGAGAGAGACAGACAGAGAGAAAGGTCTTCCTTTGCCGTTGGTTCACCCTCCAATGGCCGCCGCGGCCAGCGCGCCGCGCTGATCCAATGGCAGGAGCCAGGTACTTATCCTAGTCTACCATGGGGTGCAGGGCCCAAGCATTTGGGCCATCCTCCACTGCACTCCCTGGCCACAGCAGAGAGCTGGCCTGGAAGAGGGGCAACCGGGACAGAATCCGGCGCCCCGACCGGGACTAGAACCCGGTGTGCCAGTGCCACAAGGCGGAGGATTAGCCTAGTGAGCCGCGGCGCCGGCCATGTATAAGATGTTTTAACTATAGGAGTGTATAATCAAAAATATTTGGAGACCATTGAAATAATGGATGGATCATGTTGTCTCATAGGTTATTTTATCCTCAAGGTCTGAACTTTCCAGATCTTTTTAGGAAACAAAAAGAAAATTGTAAACAGAACATGATAAATAACACAAAGCATTACTCCTTTCATTCAGCTCATGAATAATATGAACAAAACTACACTATCCAACATAATCATGGAAAGCTAATAAGACCTTTTCCCTCTAAAAATGAGAAATAGGTGACTATTACATTCTCTATGTAGTCCTTTTTGACCTGTTCTACTTGTTGATTTAATTATGTTCCCTTTGTTAGAATTTACTTAAATAGTCAATATCTTTCTTATTATGAATACTCATATTACTGAGGGACAATATTCTAAACTATCCAGGATACAAACTAGTTTTGTCTCACACACCTCCACAATAGAGGGAAAACATAAAATAGTTACCTTTTTTTAATTGTTTATTTGCTTTTTCTCCAATGTATTGCATGTGTCAAAAGTACAGCTTACAAAACTTGCAAAAGTAAATTCATTTGAACATATTAATGATTTTGGAAGTAGAGAAAAGGCCAATGACTGAATGTAAAGTTTACTAAAAGTAGATGCTTAGATTCTGAGTTGTAGTAGTCAGCTATTCACAAATAAATTATTTCTGCATACTTTTGACTGCTTTCCTTTCACAGAGAGATTTTCATCACCATTCATTTTAATCTGATTCAATTTGTCTTCACTCATTAAAAAAAAAGTTGGTAGGTTACATTTTGCCAATTGTATAAGGATACTTTCTCAGTGTTAGCTTGGGTTCTGCCAAACCCTCTTAATAACAGCTAGCAAGTCATATAGCATAACCTCCCATCGAGTAAAATACCCAATGTGTTTAGAATGACTACTAGTGAAGACTCAACATATCCGGTATCATCTCTGTGTAATAAATGAAAAAATCAGCACTGCACCAAAAAGTTATATAACTTACCTACATGAATTCCATGTGGTTAGTGATGAAACTGAACAAAACTCAACTGAAAATTTAGGTCTTTACTCCTCACTAACATCAGTTCCATGTTGCAAGGTTGGAAGAGAGAATTGCAATTACAGAGATTTTGTTTTACTTTCTCTCTACAGATTAGTCAAACACTCCAAGGATCAAACTTAAGAAATCAGTTCATTAGAGCTCATGTTGTCAAACTGAGGTGAGTGGAACTACATGAAAAACACATAAGCATAGATGCAGTTTTACACCAATTGACTTTTATTCATAGCATGGATAATGAATCACACATTTGCACAATTTGTTGCATTACAGAAGTTGTATGCTGGGCAACTTAACAAACAATATTCCCCCTCTTCCAACCCCCTCCACATGGTGGCATATATGTTCTATCTAGTTACTAATAACCATATTACTCCAATTCTTAAAATGGAAGGAGGAAAGGGTGGAGGGAAAGTTGAAGTGAAAGTATAGTAACAGGACCAACCTTTTGTATTAATCCAGTGGACTTCATTTACAGTGCAGTCTATGTAAACAGTGCCCCCGGCAATTGGATAATGCTGTGTTGCTGGGAGTATCCATCCAAGATCATGACATCACAACTAACATCAGAAGTGGCCTTTTGATTTTATCTTCCAGGAATGCTAAAAAAAAAAAATTCTGTGGCCAAACTCAATATATGTCTGTCGCTCACTAATAATAGGTGGATAGCCATATGTGTACTAGTTATTTGCCATTCCTGCCTTAGTTAAATATGTCCTGTCCATGTGATGTGATGTGAAATAACCACCCTGACCTACCCTCCCATAAATGCCTTTAATGCCAACATGCCTCAGTCCTTCAAAGAATATGCAAAAGTTATTTGTTAGATAGAGGGATTTTATTTTTTCTCAAATACTAACATCACAAGAAAATTTATTTTTCTTATTCCCTGAAGAGTCACCTAGTAACTCAGATAAATTTGCATGAGGACATAGAAGAGTAGCAAGAGTCCATGGTATGTATATTTTTCAAGACACATTTCAGTCAATTCAGAGCTCATTCTCATTAAACTTTCTAGTGAAAGCCTCTGTACCAGTCACTAGTGCTCAAAGACTTATGCCCTCAAAACTTGAAGAACTAAATGAGCCATCTGTGTTTTCTCTTGTTTTGTTCACTTATCACTTATTGCTCAATCTACTGCAGTCTGACTTCTGACTGCACCACAAAATACAAATTGCTGTTGCCAACTTCAACAATGACATTCAAATCACAAAACCCAAGGAAATCATGTTACCTCTCTTCTTGGACCTTTCAATAGTGTTTAGCACTGATGGTCTGCCCTGGACACAGTGTCATGCCTTGATTCCTGTAACTCCACATACCTCTGATGTTCCTCTTACCTTTGCAGCCACTGGTCCTCAATGTCCTTTGCTACCTCTAATTCCATCACTGTACAATCCTCAGCTGTTGCTGAACATCAGATTGCACTGTGAGCCTCTTGTATATTCAGTTCACATTCTCTCCTTTCAGGATCTTCATTGCCATGCATACACTGATTAGCCTCATGTATCCCTGGGCAGTCCCCTTCCATCACTGACATGAGTAGACACAGCTATTCACATGATGTCATCCCATGGATATACCTTGCAGATGATTCAACTTTAATATATCCAAACCTGAACTGCTATTTATTTCTATCCCACTAAAGTTCATGCCACTAGTGTTGCCTAGTCCCATCAAGGGCATCACTTACAACCTAGTTGCTCAAGAAAGAAATCTGGAGCAGTAATCTCACAAGGTTTAGGAAGGTCCCAAGATGTGAAACTCTCAAAATACAGAAAGCAGATGCTATGATTCGTTCACCTTCATCTAGTCATTTCCTACTCATAGTTCAGGTCTAAGATGAAATGACCCTTTTCTGTCAATGCTACCCCAGACACTTTTATTATGAAACTTTTTGAGTATCAACAACATCATGAAAATAATAAACAAATACATGCCTTCTATCAAATATCCATATTTGTCTAAGAAACATGTTGTATTTTTAGACCTTAATTTAAGAAATAAAAATTCAAAAATATGATTGAAGTCATCAATGTATCTCACCACAGTGCCATTCCCTTCTCCTACCACTAGCTTTTATTCAATTAAAACTTTAGGGCCGCCACCCTGGCTCACTAGGTTAATCCTCTGCCTGCAGTGCCGGCACCCCGGGGTTCTAGTCCCAGTCGGGGCACCGGATTCTGTCCCGGTTGCTCCTCTTCCAGTCCAGCTCTCTGCTGTGGCCCTCTGTTCTGTTTTACCTGTATATGAATATATACACAACTGACATATAGGATTGTTTTGAATGTTTTCCAACTGCATGTAAATTGTATTGTCCAGTGTCTTTCTATAAATTTGTTCAAATTATTTTTATGTTAAAAATAAACTAAACCTAAGCTTATTCACTTTTAACTGTGGCACATTTGTTTATTATATTGTTATTGTATAAACTTACCACAGCTTATTCATTCAACATTTGCCTTGTATTAATATTTTCTAGCTTTTGAATTCCACATAATCCTATGATGAATATTCTTTCCATGTATAACATGAGAGAGTTTCTCAAAAGTATATACCTAGAAGTGAAATTTCTAGATTTCTCCAAAGAGGCTGTGGAAATTTTCATTTCAATCAACAGTGTCTGAAAGACACTATTGCTCCACATCTTCACTAATATTTGGTATAGTAAAGCTTTAATTTCATTCTTACCAGTCCAATGGCTGCAATAAGCTACTCTTTAGTTTTACTTCATTAATAGTATTGCATATAGGTTCTGGAGCCAAATTGTTTAAGTTCATATTCTAGTGCTGATTCTTATTAGCTGTGTGACCATTGATAAATTACTTAGCTTTAATGGTGCCTCTGTTTTCTTTTGATAATAACAGGATTATTGTGAAGATCAAATGAATTAATTGGCATAACATATTTAGTCCTGTCTGAGCATTATTAATACTGTTTATCACTCAGTAAAGACACATCAGCTTTGAATTACATATTCATTTTTTGTTTTTTTCTATTGTTTCTTAGTATCTTTCCAATGTATTTGTAGGAGTAGTGTATTTACAGTAGGTACATCTCTCCATTTTCTGAGTTCCAAATATATTCTCCCTACATATGGTATATTTTTCATCTTTGCTTATAGCATCTTTTATTGTGGAAAAGCAATTTTAAAGTATATTATTTAAGGTAGAATTGACAGGACTGTATTTTAAATGTGAAGAAGAAAGGGAGTATGTATGTATATACTCTCCCATATTTTCTTTTTAAATCCTTAAATTTTCACTATTCATATTCAGGAGTTAAGTTTATGTACAGTGTATAGTGGATGTTGGATTTAATTTTTTCCATTTGAATCATTTTCCTTGAGATGTGTGATATAATTTTTTTTTTTTTTTTAAATGTTGTACATCTTTTTTTTTTTTTTTTTTTTTTTTTTTAACTTTTATTTAATGCTTATAAATTTCCAAAGTACGACTTATGGATTACAATGGCTTTCCCCCCATACCGTCCCTCCCACCCACAACCCTCCCCTTTCCCACTCCCTCTCCCCTTCCATTCACATCAAGATTCATTTTCGATTATCTTAATATCAGAAGATCAGCTTAGTATACATTAAGTATGGATTTCAACAGTTGCTCCCACACAGGAAACATAAAGGTGAAAATATAGATGATTTTAAAATGATGATGAAATCAGAGCAGACCTATTGTCATGTTTAATCCCAGTGAGAGTCAAGTTGGGAATTGATAATTTTTTTTTTTTTTTTTTACAGAGGATCAGTTTAGTATGCATTAAGTAAGGATTTCAACAGTTTGCACCCCCATAGAAACACAAAGTGAAATATATTGTTTGAGTACTCGTTATAGCATTAAATCTCAATGTACAGCACATTAAGGATAGAGATCCTACATGAGGAGTAAGTGCACAGTGACTCCTGTTGTTGACTTTACCAATTGACACTCCTGTCTATGGCATCAGTAATCTCCCTATGCTCCAGTCATGAGTTTCCAAGGCTATGGAAGCCCTCTGAGTTCTCCGATTCTTATCTTGTTTAGACAAGCTCATAGTCAAAGTGGAGGTTCTCTCCTCCCTTCAGAGAAAGGTACCTCCTTCTTTGATGGCCTGTTCTTTCCACTGGGATCTCACTCACAGAGATCTTTTGCCAGAGTGTCTTGGCTTTCCATGCCTGAAATACTCTCATGAGCTTTTCAGCCAGCTCCGAATGCCTTTAGGGCTGATTCTGAGGCCAGAGTGCTAGTTAGGACATCTGCCATTCTATGAGTCTGCTGAGATTCTCACTTCCTATGTTGGATCACTCTCCCCTTTATTTACTCCATCGGTTAGCGTTAGCAGGTACTAGACTTGTCTATGTGCTCCCTTTGACTCCCAGTCCCTTCACCATGACCAACTGTGATCTGACACTGATCACCTGGAACAGTGAGATGGCATTGGTACATGCCACCTCGATGGGATTGAATTGGAATCCCCTGGTATGCTTCCAACTCCACCACTTGGGGCAAGTCAGCCTGAGCATGTCCCAAATTATACATCTCTTCCCTCTCCCATTCCCACCACCATGTTCAACAGGGATCACATTTCAGTTAATTTTTCAACACTTAAGAGTAACTGTGCATCAATTACAGATCTAAACCAGTCATATTAAGTAGAACAGATAAAAAAAAACTACTAAGAGGGATAATGTATTTAGTTGTTCATTAACAGTCAGGGCTATGCTGATCAAGCCACCATTTCCCATAGTGTCCACCTCACTCCAACAGGTTTCCCTCTTGGTGTTCAGTCAGTCGTCACCGATCAGGGAGAACATATGGTATTTGTCCCTTTGGGACTGGCTTATTTCACTCAGCATGATGTGTTCCAGATTCCTCCATTTTGTTGCAAATGACTGGATTTCGTTGTTTCTTACTGCGGTATAGTATTCTAAAGAGTACATATCCCATAATTTCTTTATCCAGTCTATCGTTGATGGGCATTTAGGTTGGTTCCAGGTCTTAGCTATTGTGAATTGAGCTGCAATAAACATTAGGGTGCAGACCTCTTTTTTGTTTGCCAATTTAAATTCCTTTGGGTAAATTCCAAGGAGTGGGATGGCTGGGTCGAACGGTAGGGTTATCTTCAGGTTTCTGAGGAATCTCCAGACTGACTTCCATAGTGGCTTGA